AACAGGTTTTCTTATGAGGCAATGAGCTCCTTAAATATACCTGACTTGAGTGTGAATTTTAAAAAGCTGATCTGTCATTAAAAAAAGTAGTAGAAATATCTATGAATAATGTGCAGGTTAAATATTACAAAATACAAGATATTGCTATGTTCAATAATAATTTAATTTTAATAGATGTCTTCCACTAAATTTTCATTTTATTACACCTGTTAAAACTAGCCAAATAGAAGTAACTGTCTAGTAATACAATCTACTAATTTATCAGAATTATTGATAACTATTAATAAACTACATAAATGTTACACTTATAAACAAAAAAATATTTTTAAAACTTTCAGCATGAACACAAATAGAAGAAATTAAGTGAGCTGGCATATTAGCTTCTGCCCACTCATCCCATCTGTTTTTCCTCTCCCTGTTTTGTTTTATGGAACTCTGATTTGCTTTGTAAGATGCAACAAGATGTAGGGTACAAAATATTAAAACTAAATATACGAGAAATCTAAAAGCTCTAATTTATTTTGCCTTTATGCTTCAATGAGAAAACTGAGACAATAGTACACATAAATTTTCATCAATTAGGTGTATTGGTTTCTAACATCTATGAATTGGCAAGCATTTCTAATACGCCTATTTGAAACATCTGGAATATGCTTTTGGGGATCTTTCTGTCACATATCCCATTCAAATAAGGTCATATAATCTGTCACCTTTGTTGAAGGGAATACAAAGATATCTTCAGCTCAACCTACCCTATTATTAGAGACAAGTAAAACAAAGGCCCCGGAGTTTAGGGGGTTTTAACTGAGTGTTACTTCATGGCAACATTACAAGTTGATCTACCTTTCTCTCCCTCTTCCTCACCTCCCACCTATCTCTTAGCAATGCATCTAATTAGAAGAAGCTCTAACAGTAGCATTATCACTCAACAAATATTTACTGAGTGCCCATTATTTGCCAGACCGTTATGAGACACTGAGGTGACCAAAGCAGACATGACTACTGCTCTTTTTTTAAAATATATTTTTATTGATTTCAGAGAGGAAGGGAGAGGAGAGAAAGATAGAAACATCAATGATGTGCCCTAACTGGTTTGGCTCAGTGGATAGAGCGTCAGCCTGCGGACTGAAAGGTCCCAGGTTCGATTCCGGTCAAGGGCATGTAGGGGGTGTGCAGGAGGCAGCTGATCGTTTCTCTCTCATCCATGTTTCTAACTCTCTCCCTTCCTCTCTGTAAAAAATTAATAAAATATATTTTTTTAAAAAAAGAAAAGAAACATCAATGATGAGAATCATTGATTAGCTGCCTCGTGCCCTTGACTGGAATCGAACCGGGACCCTTCAGTCCACAGACCAACGCTCTATCCACTGAACCAAACCAGCTAGGGCCTACTGCTATTTTTGAAGGTTACAGTATGATGTGGGCCATATACATTACACAAACATTCACATAAATAGCAAGGTAACTACAAATTATAACAAGTGATACGACAGAGTATAATACTATGAGGACCTAATTTCAACTGGGGTCTCAGGCAAGGTGTGCCTTTGAGGAGGTGGTATTAAAGTTGAGATCTAAGGATAAGTAGGAGTCAGAGAAGCATAGTGAAGCAAAGAGGATTCCAGGAAGACAAAACAAATACTTCAAAAGGAAGTTCATTATTTAGTTTAGCCAGTGTTCTTTTTGTACTCAGTAAAGGCTAAAGTGAAAAGGTAAAATTTTTTTTTCTATTCGGAATAGCATAATATTTACCATGACTTTCTACGAGTAATGGGTTTTCCTGATTCAATTTAGTTTTGTGTGCCAGGAATGCTGATGAATAGGGGGTCTTTTATTCTCCTGTTGACATGTATATTTTTTCAACATGTAAAAAAGCATGCGGCCTTTTTCAAAGCAATACTGACCAATGTCCTGAAGTCAATGTCCATGTTTTGCCGTAACCCAGGCTTGACTTTGCTTAGTAATACTGATGTTGCTTTCAACTGCATATTGTATTATTAAAAAATTCAAATAACTTTGTGGTTGGGGTTTGTTTTTTTTTTAAAGAATAGTTTGTAGCAATCCTTAAACCTATTTATGTATTTTAAAAAATATAACTATTACCTTAGATTAAAATACTTTTTCTCCTAAGAGCTCACATTTGACTACATTGTTGCTGCTAAAAGTCTGCTTATCCAAAGCAGGGGTATTTCACTCTCAGTTTTTCCACTGTCAGAGACAACATAGAAAGAGAGCTCACCAGGTCTGCCCTCTGCTCAGGCACTGAAATGTTTATCCAGTAATAAGATTACAGACTGCCAGTCTGGTAATGTTGAATGAATCTATGTTGGGCTTCATCACCAATCCTTACATCAGTTGTATCTGAGAAATCGGATTGGCTGACAGCCAATGAACCATATCTCACATCCTGCCACTATAAACTAACCATGTGAGTGGGGAAAACTTTTTTCTATACTGAAATTAAAATTCAAACATCTCCCAAGTACATTACCTTAAAAAATTTTTTTCCCACTAATGAGATAATTGCTCCAAAGAGGCACACACACAAGTTCAATTTGAATTACATAATGGGAGAGACTCAAAGTATTATCAGTACAGAAAATAGTGGATCATAAGTATGACTATTATTAAACCAAATTAAAACTTGTATTAGCAAATAATTTCCCCATATTTCAAGTGCTGTAAAAGCAGTCTCTTTTTAAAAAGAGCAATAACTCCAACATGATGTTTACACCAACTTTAAATGTCCTTTTAAAGATAAGAAAAAAGCCCCTCAAGAAAGTGCATTTAAATGACCACTATTACTATTCATTTAAATGAATGTGTTTTTTTCAATACTTATATAATTTTTAAAATTTAATGCCCCAAAACTTGATTAAGCTTTTTTTTTTTTTTTTTTTTTTGAGCGCGGCAGTGTTTACATGAAAAACAATCCAGTGAGAGAGAAATTTCTATTTTAAAGAGGTCACCTGATGAAACTGAAAGCTAGTAAAATCTGCATATTTAAAAGACTCACTACCTGGGATGCCTAAAAAATTAGTTTCAAGATATAAACCGGTCAACATTCCTGAATTTGAATCACCTAAAAAGTTAAATGCTATCTATATACCAAATGATTGAGCCTCGGGTGGAAACTGGCTTGCCAAATATCCCAAGCTCATCTGATCAGACAGACTTACCACATCTATATTACCTACTGAAGCAAAGCCTAGCAACATGAAGGCTTCTGGGACACATTTGCTCTCAATCCAGATCCTAACAGGGGAGTAGGAAAAGGTTCCGTTATAAAGTAAAACTGGCCGAGACCTGGGTAGGGTACCTTATGGATGCCTTTAGCAGCAAATCCACAGATAATTGCCAGCCCTCACTGCATCAGAAGTCGGAAAGTGAGATCGAAGCAAAACCAGTCGCTAAAACTGTAAAAGGAAGGACGTCAGCATTCAGCACGTGTAACAGTAACGCAGTAGTAACATTTTTCGAGGCACAAACGAAGGCACTGAAAAGTTTCTGTTTCATTTGTGACATCTTAGAGCTCATCCAGGCTGGCTCGTACAGAATAGTGGTGCAGGGTGTAACTTATCCTTTCTAATCAAAGATGACACCGATAGCGGGATTTCCTGTGGGGATGGGTGTGGCCGAGAGGCAGCTACGTCCAAGCCACCAATCTGTGCGTGGAAAAGTCTGCAGGTCGCACACACGCCTGCAGCCGGCGGGGCCCACGCTTCTGACTGCGATGACTTCAAACAGAATATCCAACAGGCAACCGAGTGGCGTGGGTTGTTTTTATTGCTCCAAGACACAGTTGCACTCCTCTGGGTTTCATCTTAAGAAAAACCTCCCCGAGGGGGTGAACAACTCGGAGCAACGCTGCAACTTGCACAAAACTTATAAACGGCGTCAGGAAACTGGGGTGGGGGCTCCCGGTCTCCAGACACCATGTCCTCACCCCCTGGAGACGGGGACACGGCAAAGTGATGAAAAGAGAAGGAAAAGGCTCATCCAAAATCCCGGAGCCCGGCCGCCGCCGCCGCTCTGGCGTCGGGAGCTGGTCTGAAGAACCCAGGACCGCCGGATCCTGACCGAGGGGCCAAACGCGGCGGTCGCCCACGGAGCGCGAGTCCCTGGTGGCCTGGGCGCCCACGCCGGAACTTGGCCCCATCTGGCGGCCGCGCCGGCGCCCCCATCGCCGCGGCGCCCCCCGCTCGCCCCCCGCCGCGCGCGCCGCCAACTTCCCGCCCAGCCCGCGGCCGCCGCCCAGCCCCGCGCGGGGTCCCAGTCCCGCCGCCGCCGCCACCGCCACCGCCGCCACCACCGCCGCGTGCGGGGGGGTGGGGGTGGGGGAGGGGCCGCCCTCGCCCGACGGGCCCCGAGAACAAAGCGGCGGCCGCGGCGCGCTAACTTTTTCGGTGTCGGCTGCGCGCTCCCCGGGGCGACTACTTACAGAGGAGGGCTCGGCCGTCCGTGAGAAACTCCGCGCCCGCCCGCCCGCGCTCGGGTCTCGGACGAGGCGCCAGCGAGGCTTCACGCGCCTCGCAGGATCCCGCCCGCCGCAGGCGCCCCTTCCTCCCGCCTCCTCCCTCCTCCCTCCTCCCTCCTCCCCGTCCCGTCCTGAGGCCCGAGGGCGGGGGGCCCGGGCGTGCGGGGCGGGGGCGCGCGAGGGGCGGGGGCGCGCGGCCGGCGCGGGGCCTGCCGGGAGCTGTAGTTTCCCGGTGAGCACGAGCGGGTGGTAGCCGCGCGTGGGCGACACTCACGGTCCTCACCCCGCGCGCGGGGGCGGCGGGACCCTGGGTTCCTCGGGCTCGTGCCGCCCCCTCCGAAGCCGCGGCGCGTCCGGGAGCGCGGGGAGCGGGGCGCGCTGCGCGGGGTGCCCGGCGTGGCTGCCGAGCGGTCTCTTTCTCTCGTGGTCCGCTCCGGCGCAGGCGATGGTGTTGGGGGGAGGGGGGCGAGAGGGGCCGGCTGGGACGGGGGCCGCGGAAGGGGTGCAGAGCCGAGCGCAGTTTCCACCTGAGATTCCTTCCCCCAGCTCCCCACCTTCCCCTCCCCGGTGCTGCCCTTCGGGGGCGGCTGGCAGAGCCCCCGGCACTCGGCACCGGGGCGGACGCATCCAGAGCCCCCGCCGACCGCAGAGGGAACTGAAGTGGCTCCTTGCCATGTGTTTCGGGGTTCCTACTTGGCCATCTTTAAATTCGAGGGCGCACCCCGGCCATCCGAGGGAAGTGCGGTCAGGAGTCACGGACCCAGGCTTCTTCTGGCCGGGAATCCAGGTGGCAGTGCCAGGTGAGTGGGGCGGGGGTGGGAGTGCGGGTGAGCATCTAAGGCAGCGGTTCTCAACCCTCTGGCCCTTTAAATACAGTTCCTCCTGTGGTGACCCAACCATAAAATTGTTTTCGTTGCTACTTCATCACTGTAATGGTGCTACTGTTATGAACCGTAATGTAAATACCTGATATGCAGGATGGTCTTAGGCGACCCCTGTGAAAGGGTGGTTGGACCGCCAAAGGGGTCGCGACCCACAGGTTGCGAACCGCTGGTCTAAAAGGAAAACACGCCGTTTGTTCAATCACAGATGGTTTATGTGAGAAAAGCCCGAGCAGCTGTCCCAGAAACGACCTGATTCTCCTTGTGTCAAAATGTTACCCCCAAAGTAAATGGTGTGGAAACAAGCCAAGGGCTGCAGTCAACAATCCTCCCACCCCCAAGCAGAGGTCAAGAGGGCAGTTTTTGAGAACAGAAAGAAAGTTAAGTGGGTCCCTACTTTTTATACCAAGTCATCCATCTTAATAACTGTCCCAGGATTGAAAGTTAATAAGTGCGAATTTTGCTCTGGCCGGTGTGCTCAGTGGTTAGAGCGTTACCGGAGGACGGAAGGGTCGCGGGTTCGATTCCCGGTCAAGGGCATGTACCTGGGTTGTGGACTCCATCCCTGGGTGGAAGGCAACCAGTCAAAGTATCTTTCTCACATAGATGTTTCTCACGCGGGCTGGTCCTCCCCCCACTCCCCTTCGTCCCTCTCTCTAAAAGCAATCAATAGAAAAATATCCTTGGGTGAAGATTAAAAAAAAAAAAAAAGGGAAGAAGAAATGAGGGTTTTAAAATAATTTCTATCAAAGATGGGACAAGTAAAATCGTATAAACCCTAGTCCTACTCTGAAGCTATGTTTTTCAAAAAACATTCTCAGGAATGGGAGGCTGCTAAATGTCTCGCATCCAGTAGTAGCTCTCATTCCACCTAATTATACCTTATTCTTCAGATGGTCCTGCCATTCTTTCACTATAAAATTGAAAGTAAATTCAGTTGTTTACCTTATTCTTTTTTTTTTTTTTTTTTTAAGAATGCCCTTACCTAACTTTGCCTTTTTCTTCCTTCCACTTCCCAGCAGACGTTTTAGTCCAGCCCCAAATATCCTCTGTCGCAGGATTCCCAGGACCTCATTGGAGCTGTTTACAGCCAGTCTCACTAGTGACTTCCATTTTCTCTCCTGGTCCTTAAAGAGACAGATGTTACTCTTCCTAGAAGCAACTTTTCTAAACGAATCAGGCTGCTATTAGAGGCTTAAGGATTTGTGTATGTGTGTGTGTTAGAATTCCACATAACACCTCTCTTTTCTTTATTTGCATTTATATGTGGCTTTATGTAATTTACCATTTGATTATATATTGTTTTTTTTTAATTTTTTTTAATCCTCACCCAGGCATATGTTTTTATTGATTTTTAGAGAAAGAGGAAAGGGGAGAGAGAGACAGAGACAGAGAGAGAGACATTGATCGGCTGCCTGCCACATGAGACCACTGGGGATCAAACCTGCAGCCTAGGTGAGTGCCCTGACCGAGAATGGAACCAGCAACCTTTTCATGTACAGGATGACACTTCAACCAACTGAGCCACCTGGCCAGGGCATGTTGATTTTATTTATAATATAGTTAGACTAGAATGACCTGAGCATTTTACTATAATTTGTACTCTGATCATGCACTTCAAAATCTCAAGTATCTTTAGAAAGAATTCTGACTTCATAGGCTTTAAGTTGTCTCATAGTTCCTTAAATCATGAAGTGTTTAGCTGAAGGCTAATTGATGTTAATTTAGTTTGTCCTTTTTCCTAGATTCCCTTTGAGACTTTCCAGTCCTTGATGTATTGATTCAATAATTGTTTTTTGAGAGACTACTATGTGCAAGGCACTTACTTAATAGATCTACAGGTAAAACAGCTGTTCTCAGGAACCTAAAGTGCATTAAACAAGATATGTGAAAATCTCTAATACCGAGAAGAGAGTAAAAAAAAAAAAAAAAAAAAAAAAAAAAAAAAAGGCAGGAAGCAAAATAAATAGCTAGCAGATGTTAGAGAAGCACAAGACATTCCCCTGACCTGGGGAAGGGGAAGTGCATGGGAAAAGAGAATTTAGCTAGGTTTTGAAGAAAGAGTAGGATTTGGAAATATGGGGAGAGGAATGGGGGGGGGGAGAAAAAAAGAAAATTCTAGTTGGAAGCAACAGTGAGCAAAGGCACATAGGTGTGAAAACATGGGCACATCTGTGAACTAAGCAGTTCAGTTAGGCTGAGCCATTGGGTTTTTTTCTTCACAATTTAAAAAAATTAAGATGTAATTTATAAACCATAAAATCCACTCTTTAAACGTGTGCAATTTACTGGGTTTTAGTACATTTATAGAGTTATGCAATATCACACCATCGAATTTGAGAATATTTTTATTACCACCAAAAGCAATCCCAGGCCCTACAGCAGTCACTCCTCATTACCCCCTGAGTTGGCCAGCCCACCCAGTGGGCTCCCAACAGAGTCACACGGGTGTTTGCAGTTAGAAGCCCTCACTTGAATGGTGCGTGTGGAGGGGATACTGGCAGGGCATCTGCTGCATCTGCTCCATATGGCTGCAACTTCCGTCTTACAAATCTGTATCTCTAGCCCCCACCTCCTGCCTATCTCTCTTAAAAAAAAAAAACAATGGAAAAATATCCTTTGATCTCTTTCTGTAACCACCTGAATGTCCCAGAGAAAGATCACAAATTCAACGTGTCCCTAACTGAACTCTTTTCTTCTTCCTCTACATGTTTCCAATCTGAGCACATAGTACCACCGTCTGTTTAGTCATCCAAGACAGAAACTTCTTAGTCAGCCTAAATTCCTTTTCTCTTTTCTCCAAATCTAATCGGTGGCTAAACCCCACCAATTTCATACAATCATGTTTCCTGTGTTGTATGCCCTTTCTTCTTTTCCACTATTACCACCTTAGTTCAGGCCTTTCATTAACTCTCACCTGATCTACTGAAAGGATCGAAGAGATTTCCCTGCCTCGAATCTTCTCTTCTTTAACCCACTCTCCACTCTGCCACCAGAGCAATAGTTCTAAAATGCGGAATCGATCCTATGATTCCCTGAGCCTCAAATCCTTCAGTTGCTGCCCTAACCGGTTTGGCGCAGTGGATAGAGCATCAGCCTGCGGACTCAAGGGTCCCAGGCTCGATTCCAGTCAAGGGCATGTACCTTGGCTGCGGGCACATCCCCAGTAGGGAGGGTGTAGAAGGCAGTTGATTGATGTTCTCTCTCATCAATGTTACTCTCTCTCTCTCTTTCCCTTACTCTCTGTAAAAAACCAATAAAATATATTTTAAAAAAATCCTTCAGTTGCTAACCAGTGTCTTTCTTGTGCTAACTTTAGAGCACGGCATGCCCCCTTCCATGGGCCCCTTCCTGCTTCTCATATTGCTAACCCCCATTCTTCATATATCTAGGACCTCAGGCAGTGGTGGACTTTTGTTCATGCAACACCTGTCTCCCCCTTTTCCACCTGGTAAACATTTCAAAGACTTGTTCCGTTCCAGTAGTCTTCTGGGATGCCTTTCCTGTCTACTTCAGGCCTGATGGGAATAACCATTCCTTTCTTCCATAGCACCTGTGACACATCTTTACCCGAATCTCTCTCTTACTAAACTGTAAGAGAGCAGGAGTCATATCTAATTCATCCTTACATCCCCTGAAAAGTGCCTTTCCCGGTCTTAGTCTTCCGCTGACATGGTTGAATACTAGAGATTTGGGAGTCATTGCAGAGGGTGGAGAATGAAACTATGGAAAAGGATGACATTACCCTGCAGGAAGACCAGGGGCAGGAATTACATTCCTTGGTGGTGTGTTACGCTGAAGGATGCAGGATTCTATGTTTGACTCCAGAGCCTCTGTGCTTTTCACTAATCATGTAAATACTAAAGAAGGTCCATTCTATTTGGCAATGGTAAGTTAATGATTTGTTGACTCTGGTGAAAGAGGTGTCAGGAGAAGACTGAGGGCCAAAGGCAAACAAGTGAATTGAAGAGGTAAATGGATGAGAGGAAGATACAGAGAATACACTGGTAGTTCTCAGATTTTCAGATTTCAATGATGAATACATTTACAAAAAATTGGAGACAGAGTTGTCAACTTCTTGTTTTGCTGGTTAAGAACATTAAAATAAAGCAAGAGTTCAAAACCACTAATCATTAGGGAAATGCAAATAAAAACTACAGTGAGATGCTACCTCCTACCCATCAAGTGTTGGCAGGAATTTGGAAAAGTTGGAATCCTTATGCACTGTTGATAGAAATGTAAAATGGTGCAGCTGCTGTGAAAAAACAGTATAGCTGTTCCTCAAAAATTAAAAATAGGATTATCATATGATTCATCAATTATACTTTTGGGTATATATCCAAATGAATTGAAAGCAAGGTCTTGAAAAGATATTTGTACACCCATGTTCATAGCAGCATAAGCCAACCAGATGTCCATTAGACGAGTGAATAAGCAAAATGTAGTGTATACATATAATGGAATACTATTCAGTTTTTAAAAGGAAGGAAGTTCTTATACAACATGAAAGCATCTTGAGGACATCATGCTAAATGAAATAAGCCAGTCACAAAAAGACAAATACTGTATGATTCCATTTACGTGAGGTACCTAGATAAATATGGAGAGACAGAACGTAGAATGGCAGTTGCCAAAGGCTAGAAGGAGGAGGGAATGGAAGTCATTATTTAATGGGTAAAGAGTTCTCTATATGGATGGTGGTGATGGTTGTGCAACAATATGAATATATTAAATGCCACTGAACTGTACTCGTAAAATGGTTAAGATGATAAATTTTGTTATGTCTATTTTACCATAATTGAACAAAAGCTGAGCAAGACAATAAAAAAACAAACTCAAGATTTATTAAGTTAATTTAGAAATTGTTATATAATTTTTAAAATGCAACATCAGCCGTAACCGGTTTGGCTCAGTGGATA